TTTATAAAATTTAAATTGGATCTTCATTATTTAGGATAATTATAACTTATATCAATAAAATAATTAAGATTTTTTTTAAATATTTTTATTTTCAGTATTTAATCACATTTTATTGGTATAGAAAATTTTGTAGTTTTCTTTCATGTTATAAAAATATATTATAATTTTACAAAATATAATTTTATAGTAAACTAATTAACTCAATAAAAATAAATGATAAATTTATAATGTGTTTGTTTCATTAAAAATAGAGTTCAAAAATATTTTCAGTAAAATTTACCAAACAACGGAAAATGATTTACATAATATCATCCAAATACTGGAAAATGATTTCCATGAACTGTTTTCCATAAAATGTAATTCATTTTCCAAAAATCATTTTCCTAAATGATATTGATGTTATTTATAATAAATCATGTCACTTGATAAATAGACTTATAATAATAAGTCATGTCACTTAGTGAATAGACTCATTTCTTAGATTAAATTTACATCCATTCAACATATCTATTAGCTTTTTAACAATTTTCTTCATCAATGATCTTAACTCTTTGTCAAATGATCTTAACTCTTTGTTAAATGATCTTAACCTTTCAATTCATTTCTTCTCACTATATAAAGACTAGTTGAGACAAATCTTAGACACAACTTACAACTTTGGAACAGGAAAAGCTTAGGAAAATTCTTTCATAATTAGTTTTTCTGGTGATAGAGATAGGTAAGATTGCTTTTGAATTATCACTATTGTTGTGTTTATTAATGTGATCATTTTTTATTGTATCCTGAGAGACCAATGTCCAACGTTACTCAATGCATCAATGAGAGGAAAAATATGTAACTGATCATACATGTCTCAACAAAATTTCTTTTGTTTTTCTGACTTTGCTCATTTGATTATGTGTTTACTAGCTAAGCAGGTTAAAGATGGAAAGTATGATCAATTTGAGAGGGAATGAGATGATGATGTGATATCTTGTAATCAGGGACGAACATAGTATTTTATGTTAGGGGGTAAACTTTTAAGATTTTAGGAGGGTGAAAAATAGATTATCAATTGAAATTATTAAAAATATATTCTAATTTAAAATTTTCATAGAGGACGATTGTTATCATCCATCCTCTTTGCTCCATATCTGATAGTAATAAATAATGATGGTTTGATTAATGCATTGGGCCTTAGACTATTGGGATGAATGCTTCCAATGTGTTGGATTATGCTCTGCTGATGGGGTTTGAGTTAAATTGCCTCTTCTACTTTCAAGGGTTGGGATTCACATTTTTAGTTTGTTGGCAGTTGATGGAACTATGGGTTTGATGTTTTGGTTGGTGGGATTGTGCATATGATTCAACCCTTGAAGCTCCTAAGTGACTGAAAGATGAATCATGTGTTATAGAGGCAGTATATAATGTGATTGCTTCAGCCTGTATCATTGGCGTGCTTTCCATGATTTATGAGGGGCAAAATTAGCCTAGTAGGGAAAAATAAAAAATTAATTAGCCCAACAGGGCATGTAGAAGTTTATTTTGGGATCTCGTCACGTCGATGTGATGAGTTCCAATGGAAAATATATTTTATTTGTTCGATTAATATTTAGTTTTCTTGGGACTCGTCATGTCGAGGTTAAGAGTTTCGTTAAAATATTCTTTTTTTGGAAGTTGGTTTTTTTCAAAATATTAAAAAATAATAATAAATAGAATTTGTCATGCTGAGGTGACGAGTCCCAACAGTCATATCAATAGGTTTTATTAAATACAAAGTATTAAATGATGTGATTAGGCACTGAAATAAAGTGTTATATTATTGAGAAGTTAAGGAGATTGTAATATACCTTTTTGTAAAAACAACGAACAATAAATATTACATTAAACCCTAAGCCTTAAAGCATTATGTTAAGGAGATAAAAACAACAAACTATAAACATTACATTAAGAATATAAAACATTACATATTGATGTTTTAATCCTCATAATTAGTAGACTAATCAGAAATAATATTCAGTTCTTCAATTCTCTATTATTTTTCTTATTTTCGTTTACGTACAAATTGGAACTATGCTTCTGGGTCTCCATCATCTATCTCTGTTTCTTCATCATTTTTCTAGGTTAGTGGGATATTCAAGATGGAAGCAGCATCCTCAACCATACGAGCAAGGTCGACATCAGCGAATTCTACAAATAAATTGACATTAGATATAAAATGATAGTAGTATGTTTCAATCATGCCAGCAAGGTCGACACATCAGTTAGATGAAACCTCATGCATGATAGTGTTAATTTATAATATATTGAAGATATTCTTCTATTGGTTCTGAGTTGAACCCTTCTTTCCATTTTCAACTTTAACTCGTCTAGTTGATTTTTTTAAAGACATGCTTAAAGATTTGTAATCATAAAATATATTTGCAAAAACAGTAGCCATGGTATCAAAAAATTCAAGCTTTGGAAGTGAAAGACTCAAAATGTTTTAGATATTTTTTTCTTCAAGTGAGTAAAATAGCTTTCACCTCAAACATATTTATAAGCCTTAAGAAAGCGCTTCCTGTAGGACAACCTGATATAACAAAAAATAGGTTTATGGAAAATTACATAGCATTAAATATAAAAATATAAAAGTCGGTTTATATTAGTCCCTGTCTGATATATCACTTAAAAGTTTCTGAAGTGAAGTGATTGGGCAATGAAAAGTGTTTGTCATTGTGTATTAAATAGTGTACAAGAAAAGTGATGTTTTTTTCTAAAATGAAGTGATATATCATTGTAAAGTTTCTGAAATGAAGTTATATATTACTAAAAAGTTTATGAAGTAAAGTAATTAACTAAAATGTTTTTATCATTGTGTATTAAATGGTGTATGACAAAAGTACGTTTTTCTAAATAAAGTGATATATCACTGAAAAATTTCTAAAATAAAGTAATTGGGAATTGAAAAGTTTATTTCATTGTGCATTAAATGGTCTATGAGAAAAAGAATGTTTTTTTGAAATGAAGTGATATATCACTGAAAAGATCCAATCACTGAATTGATTGTCATTAATGATAGATCATTTTTCTTTTAAAATTGTTTATGTTATGTGAATCTTCATAAAAATCTACTTTCTACAACTTCATTGAACCACCAGAATCATTTCTCAAGCAATGATGGCTAATAATTTTTTCACATTGTCAATTCAAATGGCCAAATTATACAAACTGATGATGGTGTTGTGTTTACATCACAGAGGCTCGTAAACGTGATGTTCTCTGTAGATGTATCTCATCGCCAAATGAAGAATAAAATTGAAAGAAAACTTGGAGCTTCTATTTCATGTTTGAGTTATCGACACATAATTTCATACACTCCACTGACATATGGAGCGATCTAGCTTGAGAATGATGACGATGTTGTTGTGATGGTTGGACTTTATCAATATTAAAATAATCAAATGATCGAGATATATGATCTCTCCAAAAAAGTTATCTTTAGTAGCCTTTTTCACCTAAGTTTCGTTTGAACTTAGTATTTTTAGGAGAACTTTAGAAGCATATTTGTTTAATTTTACATATTTTGCATATTGAGAATTTAGAGGGTTATCTAGGGATGAATTGAAATTTTATTGCTACAAAACTGTTACATTGATGTTGTAGCGTTGCAAGAGATGTTGCAGCTACTGATGAATCACCTGACGGTTAGGAGAACTTTTTGGAATGGGACGGCTGACTTGGGAGTTGTCAATGGACTAGAAACCACCTGAAATGTGGAAGCATTCCATTAGAGGATGGAAAATTGCTCAAGACTATAAATGGGAGTAATTTGCAAGCTAAAGCGGGATTGAAAAACCATTTTAAAAATTACTCATTTCCATGTTATTCCGTCATATGCCATGGAAACTTAAGCCCCCTGTCAGGGACTGATGTAGCATAAGGAGAGCTCACTGAGTAGCATTAGCAGTCAACATATCACCATATTTAGCTTTGTTAGTACTTTGAATCCTTTAATCAATGAAAGTTGATTAGAGTAGTTCAAAGGGTTTTAATCATTTCTAATTGCATAGAAGTGGTATGCTTTGTTTACTTAAATTTTGATTTTCATAATGACGTTCCATGCGATTCGATAGTTGACGTAACACTCTATAGTGTTGTAGCATGACATGGTTTCTTATTATATGATTTTTATTTTGTTTAAATAACATCTTTTACATACATATAATTTCTTTAAAGCTTAGACTTTAATGAAGAACATTTTGCTCCATGTGGATACGATACGCGTAGCTCTTTGAGCTACCACTTATTACTTGGGAATTTGTGTATACTTGCACTTAAGCTATAGTATTTACAGAACATAAAGTTGTTGGCGTCGTTGCTGAGGAGCATCGGTTTGATTTAGAGTTTTCTTTAATTTAATCATTTTGTACTTTGTTTTATAGGTAGTTTTTAGTTTTCATTTCTACTAGTTTATGCCCCACAATGACTATGAATTAAAATCGTTTGATCCAGAGATTGAAAGGACTTTTAGAAGATGTCACCGCGAAGCTACAAGGAACTTAAAAACTATGGGTGGATGAGGGAATGTTATATTATCCCGTTGTTGAATAGAAAGGATGGTGAGTTACCCGCTGTCAATGGGACGGGACAACCATTTTATAATATGGATGATCATGACTGGTCTATGAAATAACATGTAGTGTCAATGCTAGATAATTTACATCCGGGCATAGTAAGACCAGTGATTAATGCTGCAAACTTCGAGTTGAAACCGGTTACGTTCCAAGTGCTAGAATCCATGATCCAATATGGAGGGTCCATTATTAAAGATCCTCGAGCTCATTTGAGAGCGTTCATGGAGGTTTGTGATTTGTTTATTCAGCATGGTGTTCCTGAGGAAGCATTAAAGGTGAAACTATTTCCTTATTCACTGCGTGATAAAGCAAGAGCATGGTTGAGTTCATACCGCCAGGTGCTATAGCATCCTGGAATGAGCACATAAATTTTTACTGTGATTTAACTTGCCAAATATGAATGCCAAACTTTGAAATAATTTAACTTTATTCAAGCAAATGGAGGATGAAAGCTTCTAGGAAGCATGAAAAATATTCAAGGAATTGTTGTTGAAGTGTCATATGCACCGGTTTCAACATTGGACTCAAATTGAGATGTTTTACAATGGGTTAAACATACTCACTTGTATAGTGGTTGATTCTTCAGCAAATGGAGCTTTGTTATATAAAATGTACAATAAAGCTTATGATATCTTGAGAGGATCTCAACTAATGATTATCAATGCCCTAATGCAAGGAATGTGTTTGGCAGAAACAATGCTGCAGCGGTAGATTCTGAAGCTTTTAACTATATGTCATCTCTGATTTCAACATTGACAGATATGGTTAAGAAACTGCAAAAACAAAGGGGAATGTATGAGGTCAAGGCTACATCTATCGACACTTGTGTTTATTGTGGAGATAATCACAACTTTGATGAATGCCCCTAACATTCAGAGTCTATCTACTATGTACGAAATTAGCAACAGAATGATAATGCTTTCGACAACACTTATAATATGCTAATTTCAGGAATCATCTAAATCTTCTTAGAGAAGCCAAAATGTTTTCAATCTGTAATAAAAGCATTATCAGCTGCAACATTATAATCAACAACAAAAAATGCCACAACCATAAGTACAACATCCAGTTGCAATAAAGGTAAACTTATCAAAGACAAACTTCAACCCAAACTTCCACTTTATCATCTCTTGAAGATTTGATGAAAGAGTACATGGAGAGTCAATCAACATTGTTAAGGGATCTAGAGAACCAAATGGACCAAATAGCAATGCTCTTAATAATTGGTTACAAGGAACGCTGCCATACGATATTGAAAATCCAAAGCAACAAGAAAAAGAGCATTACAAGGCTACTACAACAAGGAGTGGAACTTGTATTAGGGATTCAGTTGAAGAACCTAAAAAATGATGTAGAGGCTACTAAGCATGGTAAGGGAATGAGAAAAGAAGTTGAGTTTCCACCTATGCGCTATGCCACAACATTAGACGTAGGACAATGTAGTAAATCAGACTCATTACCTACAACAATACCTGGAGCTTATGATTCTTCGCTAACTTCAATGCCTCAGTAAAAAAAACCAAAGGTGCCTCCACCATTTCCACAGCGCTTCAAAAGGACAAAGTAAGATCAATAATATAGAGCTTTCATTGATGTCCTTCACCAACTTACAATCAACATCCCATTGATTGAGGCTTTATAGCAAAACCCAAACTAAATCAAATTCATAAGGGAAGTCTTTTTGAAGAAAAGGAGAATTTGCAAATTTGAGACTGTTGCTCTTATTGAAGGCTATAGTGTTATGACTACAAGTAAATTGCCACCAAAAATTAAAGATCCAGGGATTTTTACTATTTTTTCATATTGGTGATATATTTATATGTAAAGCTTTATGTGACTTGGGTGCTAGCATAAATATAATTCCATTGTCAATTTTTAGGAAATTTAGGAGCGGCGAAGTAAGACCAACCATTATCACATTGCAACTCGCTGACCGTTCTACTATGCATCCTAGTGGAATTGTGGAAAACATGCTTTTGAGAGTATAACAGTTCATTTTTCCTATGTGCTTCATCATTTTGGACTGTGAAGTGAATAAAGATGTTTTGATAATTCTTAGTTGCCTATTCGTTGCTACTGGTCGAGCCTCAATTGATGTCAAAAAAGGAGAATTGATCGTGCATTTAAATGATGATCATATCACTTTTAATGATTTAAATGATGTTTCTTATATAAATGACAGTGTTGAATGTTTCTCACTTGATGTGATTGATATCTTTACGCATGAGCACTAGGAACATATATTGTCGCTAGTGATTTGGTAACAATTGAAGAATTATCCGATGATGTCTAGGGAAAATGTTATAGAAATTATATGCAACATATTGAACCTCTGGAAATGTTTGATCATATTATTCGAGCCCCGACACAATCCATTGAGGAATCACCTACGCTTGATTTAAAACCCCTGACCGAACATCTGAAGTACGTTTATCTTGGAGAGAATGAAACACTGTCATTCATTGTGGTAGCACAACTTACAGCAGCATAGGAGGCTCAGTTGATTGATGCCCTGAAGCAGCACAAGAGAGCTATAACCTAGAGTATCGCTGATATAAAGGGCATTAGTCCAGCATTTTGCATGGATAATATTCTTTTAGAAGAACCTAATAGTAGTTCGATTGAACACCAATGAAGGGTAAATCTAATCTTGAATGAAGTGGTTTAGAAAGAGATTATAATATGGTTGGATGCCAAAATCATATATCCAATTTCGGACAGCAATTGGGTCATCCCTGTCTAATGCGTTCAAAAGAAAGGTTGCATTACTATGATGAAATGATAAAAATGAATTAGTACCGACAAAGACCACTACTGGTTGGAGGATATGCATGGACTATAGGAAGCTCAATAAAGCAATGAGAAAAGACCATTTTCCATTTCCATTCATAGATCAAATGTTGGATCATCTTATCGGTAAAGCCTTTTATAGCTTTCTGGATGGATATAGTGGTTATAATCAAATTACTATAGCATTGGAGGACCAGAAGAAAACAACTTTCACATGTTTGTACGGTACCTTTGGTTTTCGAAGAATGCCATTTGGATTATGCAATGCTATAGCGACATTTCAGTGTTGCATGATGGCCATATTCTTTTGACTTTTCGATGTTTGGACATGATTTTGAACATTGTTTAACTAATTTCATGCATTATTGACGAGATGTGAGAAAATCAACTTAGTTTTGAATTGGGAGAAATACCATTTCATGGTGAATGAAGGTATAGTGCTCCGGCATCGTATTTCCTGCCGCAGCATTGAGGTGGAAAGGCAAAAGTATAAATTATTGAGAAACTACCACCTCTAACTATTGTGAAGGCAATTCGAAGTTTTCTTGGAAATGATAATTTTAATAGAAGATTTATCAATTATTTTTCTCAATTTGCTAAGCCATTATGGTCTTTGTTGGAGCGTAATAGAAAGTTCGTTATTGATGAGGAAGTGCTTAAGTTCTTTGAAATAATTAAAATGTAGTAAATGCTCCGGTTATTATAGCACCAAATTGGAGTCTACCTTTTGAATTAATGTGTGATGCTTGATTTTCTTGTTGGTGCAGTGCTGGGGAAAAGGAAGGAAATAGTGTTTCATGCTATTCATTATGCGAACAGAACATTAAATGATGCTCAGGTTAACTAAACTACAACTGAAAAGGAGTTGCTCGTAGTGGTTTTTGCCTTTGACAAGTTTTATTCTTACTTGGTAGGTATCAAAGTAATCATTTATATCGACCATTAAGGGCTGAAGCATTTATTTGCCAAGAAGGATACAAAGCCTAGATTGATTCAATGGGTGCTCTTACTTCAAGAATTTGATATTGAGATTAGGGACAAAAAGGGATCTAAGAATCAAGTGATTGATCATCTATATAGATTAGAATCTGGTAGCGAGGAAGAACCTATTCTAGTAATTCCGGATGATTTTCCTGATGAGCAACTGCTTGCTGCTACATCATTACCATGGTATGCTGACTTTGCCAAGTATCTAGTTAGTGGAATGATGCCACCTGATCTTAACTATCAAGGTAGAAAAAAAATTATGAGGGATATAAGGCAACACCATTGGAGGAGCCATATCTATTCAAATAATGCAATAATCAAATTCTACGGCATGAGGTAAAAGAAAGCGAGAGGAGTAATGAGTGAGCTTGGCATCAATCACCAAGGGATAATTACAGGTAACAGTGATGACATCCTATTGTGTTCTAAATTTTCTAGCTGGCATGTACGAGTAAGAAATATTTGGAAATTTATAGATATGGTTAGTAATTAATAAAATTAATAGTTTGAATCAATATTTTGTTATTAAACTATGTTTTAAATATTAATTGATTCGATGTTAATTACACAGTTATAGACAATTTTATTTATTATTTAAAACAGATCATAACTGTTTGTTATTACCTAAAACATGATTTGAAATAGAAGTCCAAATGTTTCATTTTATTTTCTCTCATTAACTATTTTAATATAAATTGTTACAAATATGGAATTTGTGAAATAAACAAAATTTTACCTATTTTGGGTTAAAAAATGTTTTGAATATTTGATGTGACATCGTTAACTCGTAATAGTACATTATATGGGTTAAGGGTGTTACATATTATATTGCAGTGGGAATTTATTTTACATACACTAACCATTTTCTTGCATCGAGGAAAATGTAACATCTTTGTCAACCATTTCCTTGCACCAAGGAAAATGTAAGCCTCATTTCTCTCTCAACTATTTTCTTCGTCTAACATCTTTGTTTGTATCTAAAAAAGTTTCTCCATTTACTTCATTATATGGAGCAATCAATCAAGAACTCGATAAATCTCGAGCAATCAAACCAGAATTCATTGGTAATTACCTTTAAATTTTATTTTGTTCTTGTTCATAAACAATTGTGTTACATTCTTTTTTCCATACTTCCTTATTTGTTTGTTAGTTAAATTGTTGTGATATATGAGGAGTTGTTGGTTGAGCGGACCTAGTTAACACATATTTTGTATGTAACATCAAACATCATTTTTAAGATTCTTTTCTTATAAACTTCCACAATCCAGCTCAACCTTGATTATCCCAAAATTTTATGTTTTTGTTTGCTACATATATTAACAAAACTATTATGTTAATATCTTATTCATAATTTTTTATGCATTTCAAAGGTTTTTCATGACTTTCATTATGAGATACAAACTTGAAGATTAAATGTGCGACGAATGTATTCTAAAGCACGATTTATCTTCTACAGACTCAGGCTAGAGAAATAAGGATTCACAAGCTTAAAATTGATGATTTAACTAGGAAAGCAACCAAGAAATAATCAGGTGTGCCTATCTACGGTGACGCCTTTAGTATGGAAACATAATATAAAATTTTAAGATAGAAGCACAACCTTCATATGTGTTTTCATAAGCAAGCAAACAATCAATGTCAATCAGCTGTTTCCATATGTAATATAGGAATGAACTCGAAGAATTCCATATTTATGTTATTATAAACCATTATGTTATCCCTTCTTAATTTTGCAC